ATGTGACTTTGATATTCATTAGTTTGGAGAAAAGTAATTTCTGAAAAACTAACAAATTTTTATCACAATTAAATAAGTAAACTGATTTGTAAAAATTATGAAAAAATATAATAACCTATGATATGCTGGATGTCATTAAATAATATGTCTTTAATTCTTCAAAATAGGTTTCTCTACGACCAAACAAGACAATGTGAATTGGCAGAAAATAGCCATGGGGGATGTCAGTCATTACGAAGAGGTGTATGATAGCATTAACTTCTAGCAGTGTGGACAGCAACGGTATGAATTGCCTTTTATTCTGTCTTCCCAGAATAGTCTAATTAAGAGTCAGGTAAAAAGAGGTTTAAAAATAAAGAGGCTAAAAGAATTGTAAAAATGCTGAGGATATCATAAAAGAGATCATTGTAGTTTTCCCCTCCACATACCTAGTCCTGCTCCAGCTAAAACATCTGCCTACCACTCTATAAATGTCTCTACACTTTTCTTTCCTTTATGAGCAAACAAGTGGAGCTTTAAGGGACTTTTAATAGCCAGCAGCTGTTTGGCTGCTAAATACTGCATCTGGAAGGGGGTGTGCAATTCGCATGGAAAAAAACAACCCCTCAAAAATCTATTGTTTAATTTTTTTGAAGTATACCATTGTTGGGTTAAGTCGTTGGATGATTTAAATACAGGACAAGACACAGGAGTTCCTGAAGTGCATCTGAAAACCAGTAGATCTCTATCTAGGGACCAGAGGGCAACAAAGAACTAGTATTTATTATTTGATCATGTGCAATATGAGGTTGGATGGCAGCTATTTTGAGATTAATGCCAGGTAAAAGGGGCACTTCATGAGAACTTCGATTCATTTCATTCTTCTGAGATGAGCGCTACTTCAGACTAAAATGAATCATAATAGTTTTCCTAGTTAGGTTATAATTATAATTTTCTGAATGCATAATCCATTTTAAAAAATACACCATTTAAATGTTAAGATACAGAAACACCTGCTTTAGAAGACTGGAAGGAGAAACTGGCATTACAAGAGTGCATACCAAAGGAAAGAGGAAAACAGAGAGAAAGAAGAAGGAAAGGAAGAGAAAGAAAAACATGTTCCAGGATCACAGCATTTTTAATAGAAATGCTTTTCAATCAGCATGTGTCAGGGCTATGCTAAAGGAGAGCAGAAAGACTATCAAATAGTTGGATTTACTTTGGAAATCCCCCACACTGAGATTCAAAGTTGTTTCTGCCACGCCTTTACTTTTCTTTTGAAAGGAAGTTTGGTCTGACAACCCTAACATGAGTAAGTCATACTTCGCAAGATGGCAGGTTTTACCCCCGAAGAAAACGCGTCAGTGAGAAAGAAGTCAGTTCAGGGGCGATGAGGCAGGCACTCATGATGCAGTTCCTGCCCTGTCTGCTCTCAGCACTCTCTTCTTCCTTTCCCCTGAGAAAAATACCGGCTGCGACCTGCAGCTTATCCCTCCATCTCTCTTTCCGGATCCCTCATCATCTACGCCATAGAGATGAACCCAAAAATCACCTCCTGAGCATTTTAGATGACTGTCAAAAGACTTCTCTCCAAAAAAAAAAAGAAAAAAACCCCACATTTTTAACCACTATAGGAAACAAACAAAAAGCGAATTGAATTCTGTGTGATTTTCACCATTGGCATACAGAGAAAAATCCAGGTATTATGCATCACTGTGGAGAAGAGGGGCAAAGTCAGTACAAAGCTCTATGTGGAAGGAAATGTCTTGGGAGTGTGTGCTGCTGCGGTGAGGGTAATCCTCACCTCTTTGTAGAAACAGTGGGTTTCTCCCTCCCTCCCTTCTTCCTCCCTCCTTCTCTCCTTTCCTCTTTTCTTTCTTCATTCCCTTCCTCCTTCACCTGTCTTTTCCTCCTTTCTTTCCTTTTTTCCTTTCTGCTTTCATTTTTTTTTAATTGTAAAATTTTGCAAAATAGGAACTTCGGCTACCAGAGGAGAGTGGGGATCATCCTTCCTAGAAATCATGCATCATGCGTTTTTCTGTTTCTATAATGTCTACAGGATCTTAGATATTGTCAATATAATTGATTCATCCTTGGACTACTCCTGTCATTTAAATTTATATTTCACTTAGATTATATACAAATGTCTGTGAGGGGCCAGCAGAAGGTGTGATTCTTAAGGTGTTATACTCCCCCACATGGCTGACAGCCTTTCAAGTCCCAAACCTGGTGGCTTAAAAGTCAAGTCAGGCACATGTGTGTGCATGCCCAAAATCCCAGAAGGAGAATGGAGGAGAAGGGATTGTGGCATGGCTATCCATCCCCGAGGGGGTAATTTCTCACTTTCCCTCCCACTGTCTCTCTCCATCTCTCTCTGGTAAGCACATGTGCCCTATTACAAAAACCTAAATAATAATAAAGTATCTGAAGTATTTTAATGCTTATTGTATACCCACAATGTTCCAGGGGAATACACTACTGTATACTGAGTCTTTCCCTTGAAATGGATAAAATTTACAGAGGGAGCAAAGCCTTATACACACGGCACAGTGATAGAAAAATAAAAAACCAGTGCCAAACAAAATGCCAAACGGATATGATTGAAGGTTAAACTGCTGTAACGATACTGAGTGTTTATTCAAGTTTCTCGTCTTCCCCATTGCCAATTAACTTTAAACACTTACAGGACTATTACCTATCGTCAACCACCTGCTGAAAATGTGTAATAGTTCCCCTTGCCCACATCATGATTTTCATATTGGAAATATGTATGAACCCCTTTTAATAAAAAGATTCTCATAGACTGAGAACTTGAGAATATGCCTCCAGAAACCACAGGCTCTGAAAACTCTAGTGAGAAACATTCATTGAAGAAGCAGAATCCTACTATTTCTATAAATCATCTATGACTTAAAACGTATTGCCCCAAAGAAGGTTTACCTTTATAAACAGAATAAGCCCTCCGCTATTCAGTTTCTCACTGAAGGTGCCACTCAGATGTCCCTTTCCTCTTGTATGACATGGCAGACGGGGAAGCCCAAATGAGTTGTTTGCAGATCCCAACACAAGTGCTCAACTTTCCCGCCACAAAACCTTTAAACATTCTGCCTTCAGGCTGATATATTCTTGCCTTCGCTTTTCCCATCTTTCTCCTTATCGTTTCTTTGCTAGAAATTAGCAGTCAAACAACATCATGATTCTCTGTCCTTGTATCTACACAGACCTCTGTCCTCTGATTTCCCAGTGCAGTTTATTTAGAGTTTATTTATGCCTTTTTAATGAGGCAAAATATTCTGCCAAACATTATACCAGATATTTAGATGTGTCCATGGCTTTTTTAAAATTTCAATTTCTTTCTCTTTTTCTTTCTTCTCTCTCTTTCTTTTTCCTTCTTCTTTTTTTTCTTCTTCTTTCATGAGCGAGTGATAGTGAGAGCAAGAGACAGGGACCCGCCTCAGAGTCCTGCCAAGCCATGGTCCTGCTCGCAGCCCTACCGGCAGGCAGGATCCCAGGTGTTCCAGGCAGGTTTGGGTCAGCCCAGGATATGAACCTCAGGCCTTCTCATATGGCTCCAATACTTATTTCTCAGTAGTGCTCTGTCATTTATGTCTCTGTATCGGGCTGTGTGTGCATGGTTTTCACTTCTAAACTGGAAACAGTTTGAGGAGAGCATTTGTATTGGACCCTTCTACAAGCAGCACGGTATTTTGCACATAAAAATAAGAAGTCAATGAAATAATTCTATAGGCCACTGCATCAAATGAGTCTTCTGAAAAATCAAGATTGATAGAATGTGCAAAGTGGCTGAGGAAGGGATTTTTTTGATAAGAAATTTAGTGAACTTCTCAACCCATGCATCTGTTAAGGATTAAACAAATTAGGAAGACAGATATTGCTACTCTTTAACCTTACTGGTAAAACAGGGTTGTTTCCTAGGAGAAAATTTGCACAATTAAAGAGAAATAATCTTAAATGCAAAAGTTCATCTGTAGAAATATTACCAAGTATGGACTGAGTATTCCTTATCGGAAATGCTCGGAACAAGAAGTGTTTTGGATTTTGGATGCTTTCATATTTTGGAATATTTGGATATGCAATATTTGTCTATGTGTAATGATATATCTTTAGCATAGGAACCAAGTCTAGACACGAAATCATTTATGTTTTCTATGCACATTTATGAGAGCTCTTCCAACAGCAGTGAGGCTGGACAGTGGCACAGTGAAAATACAACACACGACAAGGCTAAGGTTTGGTTCTGGGAAGTTACTGGGTTTGCATTCAGAGAGAGACATGCCAGAACAGGCCCGGTGTGCAAGTCTCCTTGATCACGAGCTGGCCAAAACTGGGAATGGATGTTGGTTCAACAGCTCTGTTGGGGTCGCCTATCCCTCTGTCTCTTTCACTCATGGAAGAAAGAACTAAATCTTAGACATTTTCATGAAGAATGGGTATTATGAACAAAGTATGTATAGATTTAACAATTTTTTGCACTAACATAAATTCAGATGGTTCATTCCATTTTTCCATGAACTTTTTGAAGTACCTTTGCACACAGAGCCTGAAAGTAATTTTATACAATATTTTTGTATTGCAATGTCTTGACCATGACACCCCACCACCACCACCACCACCACCACCACCACCACCACCACCACCACCACCACATGAGATCAGATACAGAATTTTCCACTGTGGCATCCTGTCAGTGCTCAAAAATTTCAGATTTTGGAGCACCATGGACTTCAAATGTTCAGGTTAGAGATACCCAACCCATACTTTCAAAACCAAATAATTTCCCAAACCTACTATGATTCTTACCCCTTGAATAACAACAAAAGAAAATGTGTTCAGATAAGTCATACTGCTGCACATCAGATTTTTTTCATATCTACTCTCTCTGGTTCCAACCAAATAACCTCTCTTTTTACCCTTAAGACACTCATCATCTTTGCCTGAAAGCAGAAGTAATTAAAATATTACTACGAGAGTCATAGGACCGCTAAGTAAAACACAATTACCTTTCAGCATCTTCTGACTGATCGGTGAACATTACCAATTTCTCGTTCTGTTCCTCGTTCCTGTTTACAAGCCGTCCACATGGAATCTAAAATAAAACAGACATAAAGGACATGCAGACGTGTCTCAGGGGAAGACAACTATGTCAGTCACCAGAGGAGAGAACCACCTGTTAAATGCATTTTTTTTTTTATCAAAAGCCATGTTTTTAGTCTCATGTCTTGTTTTTAGCCCTGTCAGTTATGAGAAGACAGACCACAAACTTGCCTTCTGCCTAGTTTCAAAGGTAAAAAACACAGCGTATAAACAGCCTTTCAGTTCTGGAAGATTCTCATGACAGGGAGAAATTGTCCAGGAGCAATTACAAGGAAGTTAGACACCTAACACATGAGGAGAAAATGTCAAAGTTGTCAGACTGACATGTTTGTACGTCCATTGGTCACAGTCCTGGAAGGAGTCCTCCGGAAGTGTCCCAACACCAGGGGACATCCAACTGGAGGCCAATTCACCCCAGCTTTTTCTCCAGTGGGAATTAATGATTATTTCTATGATTTTTTTCAGGATAATGAGAGAACTGGCAACATGACAAAAGAAAGAGGAAACAAAATTGTGTTTAAGACACAGAACTTTTTTCATTTCCCTTTTTTAAAAATTCAATATTAATTGCAATTGAAGCTCCAAACTGTGGACAGACATTACACTGACAACATGGTACCTCATGGGGCTTTATAGTGGAATCTCAAGATTGACGAACTTGAAGCCTCATCTATGTTTTTAAAAGCCAATTCCTGCAGGCAATTAGCACATTTCAAATGCATCTGGAAACCACTAATTGCTATGATCCCATAAAAAAAATGTAGGGAGTTGAATGTATGGGAAGCGAGAAGCCAACTTGTCTGAGCGTCATGTGTTTCTGTTTAATTGTAACAACAACTCAGAAACGTTGTTTGTTAAAGAGCTCCAAGAAGGATTCATTTCGACTATTGGCAAGCTGTCTGTGCATAGTGTGGGAGGGTGGCTTTTTTGTTTTGTTTTGTTTTCAGCTTGTGACAGCTGTTTAAAAGTCATGTTACCACCATGGTAGCCAGTTGCCAGATGAAAGCAAATGTCTTTTAGGACTGTTGTAGGAATCAGACCACCAACTAGTACAGCTATCTTTTAACCATGAGAAATCATAAAACTACCCGGCTTCTTTGCCCGGCTGTCTGGAGAGATTACACAAATCTTTTTTAAATTTTATTTATTTATTTTTTTTAAAGATATTTTTGTCATAGGGTGTATGCACTAGCCAGAGAGAGAGAGATGGAAAGTGAGACATCACCCTCCAGGAGGAATGGCCACGCCATAATCCCTTATACTCTCTTCTCCTCCTGGGATTTTGGACATGCACAAACACATATACAGCATGAGTTTCAAGCTGCTGCTGGGTCTAGGACTGGAATTATGATCTGCCACGTGGGAGTCCAGAGCTTTAATCACTATCCCACCTGCTGGTCCTGATACTACACAATTCTGCAAATGCACAGAGGAGGAAAGCAAGTGGCATGCTACCCGGTAGAGAGTGACTTGCAATAGTACCTGGCCTGTAATTTCTGAAAGGGAGATTTCAAAAATGAATTAATACAGGAAGTAAGATAAATTTGTAGTAAGGTTTTTAAAAAGCCTTTAATTATTTATTTGTCCTAAAATCAAAATTACATGTTAAGTCTTGGAGTGCCAGGGAATCATATTAAGTTGTTGGGAAAGTTACACCTATTTTTCTATGTTTTTCTATACAAAAATGCATCATGACTTTCCCAATGGCCCAATAGAATCTGAGCCTTTAGAGAATCATCTAAGAATTATAACACCATCATTAGACAAGAGAGGAAACAGAAATCCAGAAACCCAGAGAGGACAATGACTTGGCTAATTAATTCTTTTTTTAAAAGAATTGTTTTATTTTTATTCATTGTTTTTATTTATTTATTTATTTATTTTTGAAGTTGAAGAGAGAGAGAGAGAAGGAAAGAGAACGCAAGCTGCCGGATCTGGGACTCAAACCATGGTCAGCCACGTAAGAGTCCAGCCTCCTTAACCACTACGCCACCTGCCAGCGCAATTGGCTAATTAATTATTGATCCAGGATTAGTCACCACCCTATCTGACTCCTAGTTCATGATTTTTCAATTGTTTTCCCATAACTGAACATTATGTAGATGAAATTTTAAGTTGGAAATAAAATGAGATCTATTTTAACACTAACATATTTTTTAAGTAGGTCCAGACCTCCAGAGGAGGTCATGAACTCCTTGAAAAAAAAATTTTTTAGAGAGATTTTTGCTATAGTTAAGTCTTGGAGTGCCAGGGAATCATATTAAGTTGTTGGGAAAGTTACACCTATTTTTCTATGTTTTTCTATACAAAAATGCATCATGACTTTCCCAATGGCCCAATAGAATCTGAGCCTTTAGAGAATCATCTAAGAATTATAACACCATCATTAGACAAGAGAGGAAACAGAAATCCAGAAACCCAGAGAGGACAATGACTTGGCTAATTAATTCTTTTTTTAAAAGAATTGTTTTATTTTTATTCATTGTTTTTATTTATTTATTTATTTATTTTTGAAGTTGAAGAGAGAGAGAGAGAAGGAAAGTGAGAAAGCAAGCTGCCGGATCTGGGACTCAAACCATGGTCAGCCACGTAAGAGTCCAGCCTCCTTAACCACTACGCCACCTGCCAGCGCAATTGGCTAATTAATTATTGATCCAGGATTAGTCACCACCCTATCTGACTCCTAGTTCATGATTTTTCAATTGTTTTCCCATAACTGAACATTATGTAGATGAAATTTTAAGTTGGAAATAAAATGAGATCTATTTTAACACTAACATATTTTTTAAGTAGGTCCAGACCTCCAGAGGAGGTCATGAACTCCTTGAAAAAAAAATTTTTTAGAGAGATTTTTGCTATAGGGCACCTGTGCTTGCTGGAGAGACAGAGAGAGACAGGGAGTCCCAATTCCTTGTACCACACAGCAGTTACCTTTGATGGACATTCATTACTTTCTCACATAAGATAATTCAAAAACATCTTTACCTTGATAACAATTTGACTGTTTAAAGTAGATCCTAAGTGGAACAACCAAGTTAGACATACAACAATATGGATTTTCCCTAATAGAAAATTGTACCTGGATACTAAACAGTGGAGAGAAGGGAAATAGGGGGTACTTGATCCCACTCAACCTTTACCCATTCAAGATGGCTTCCTTGAGTATTTCTTTCTGAACTACTTCAAATAATAACTAGTCAAGTTTCTATGGCTTGACTAAGGTGCACAAGGTCTGTTCTTTATACTCCTATTTCTGTTAGTTTTTACATAAAAGGCAGTATGTTTTCCCTTTTCCTCATGTCTATGACATTCATTCTCAACCCTGTAGCATCATCCAAGAAGCCACTATTTCACCAGATACTTTCAATTTAGAGCCTATGGCACACAGAACCTTTGTATGTTGTCGTCATTAATAAGATTCATGCCCATGAAGAACCTACTCTATTCCAACAAAGCTATTGAGAACTAAATGCTGAGATTCCTTTACTGAAAAGACTTCTAGAATCTATGGCATATTCTTTTGAACATTTTTGGAAAAGGCCGAAATTAACAGGTTGAGATCTGATGAATAAGGTGAAGAAAATCAAGCTATGTAATATCATCAAGTTGGCTTCCTTCCCTTGCTGATAAATACCATCCCTCTGATATACAGAAGCAGAGTGGTGATTAAGACTGAGACTGAGTACAATCCCCATTTCTCTAGGGACTCTTATCTAAGGAGATTATGACCTTTCTGTGCTGGTTTCCTCTTCTGTAAGATGGGAATAATGATGGTACCTGCCCCATGGGGCGGTTATGTGGTTGAACTGTGTCAACATGTGCAAAGTGCCTGGCATGTCATTAGTACACTATAATTGATAATGGATGCCATCTTAATGGAGTCTTAGGAAACAGGAAGTGAGTAATGGTCGACCACCATCTTGAATCATGGCTATATTGAAAAAACTTGCTGTATGGAAATTGGTATAGGTGATCACTTCTAAGGTCACTCTTGAAACTCTCCTAAAAGCCCAAATGGGAGCAGATTTCCAGCCATTGGGGCTGATCTTCACATAGATGGTAGGTGTAACAGAGCAGGAGAAAACTGCATTTCTGGAACTTTGGAAGCCCAAGAGAATGGCAAGTTGACTGCACCAATTAAACATCACAGAAAGAAGCAGCGCTGGGATGCTGGTGGGCCCAGAGTGAAGTCCCCACCCCTGGAAGAGATCTGGACTTTCCTGGAGAGGACTAAGCAGATCACACGTGGCCCAGAGAAAGAACTAAGCTGCTCTTACTGTTATAATTGTTATTACAGCTCTTTAGAGTGCCTAGTTGCCCAAGAATATGAGGCCCTTTCATGCACTTTGTGCCACCAGTCACTCCTTCCAAAAAAGAAACCATAAAAGCTGATTTTCTAGTGTGGGCTCTTCCTCACTCTGGCTCTTCTTTTGCCTCTTAAAATACCCCTTTGTGTCTCCCTGCCCACCATCAACCTTTCGGGGCAGCCTGACTGTCCACAAGACTAGAGAGATCGCCCTTTTGAATGCTCCTGTGGCAGCCACAACTCTGACAATTGCAATCGAGCATCAGTATCGCCTTTCTTATCTCCACTGTCACCGGGGTGCCTTCTACTCCGCCATGCAAAGAACAGGTGTGCTTACTTCTGGAATATTCCGGCGAATGTGCAGATACAGGAAGGGTTGGTTACACATGCACCAAGGCCTCCCCAAGGTAAGTGGGCCAAGAACATGGGCAGCTCACTGAGAAAAGAAATGAATACAAACCATGGACGATGTGACGGCACAGTGTAAAAGGCCAGCATTTTAGTGTTGTCTTTTTTGGCGCCCTCAGCTGGGCTCTTCTCCCTGGACCGCCGGCCCCAGCCACAACTCTGACAATTGCAATCGAGCATCAGTATCGCCTTTCTTATCTCCACTGTCACCGGGGTGCCTTCTACTCCGCCATGCAAAGAACAGGTGTGCTTACTTCTGGAATATTCCGGCGAATGTG